TATGTATTCAAAGACAAACCACATACGCATATACATATGTGTGCGTATGTAAACAAGTTTGCGCTACATTGCCTATACACTTGCATAGAAACACAGACAATTGAAACAAAAACAAAATGATGAAAACGATGATATGAAATTACCTTTAACTGCGTTAAAGCCTAAATAATCTAATAGAATAAAAAAGAAAATAACCGATATAACGTTTTTTTTTGCCTGTTTGGTTTGTTTTGTTTCAAACATTGTTTTAGCTGCAAGCAAATTATGTAATGAATGCAAAATGCAAAGATTCGTTGATGAAAAACAAACAAAAATGTCACACACCGCACCCATAAATACATATGCATACATATGGACACAAACACAAACACACCAGGCGGATCATTAAAAAAAAAAAAACAAGCCAAGCTGAGTTAAATAGCTGCTTGTGCAGAAAACAGCCGTTATTTAGATTCTTTATCGACAGCAAAGCAGAATAATATAGATTTTTTTCATGCGAAAAAAAATATGAAAAATGAAATTCATAGATTTATTAATTTAAAATTTAAAAATACACACAAAGTACTTCAAATATGAATTATTTTGAAGTATGCATGCAGAAAACAAAAACTAAAAATATAATAAAAAAAACTACATACATATATGATATACATACATACTATACGGATTATTATTACTCTTATAATTATTATTGTATTGAAGGAAAAATATAAGAACATTAAACAGCATAAATAAAAAATACATGACTTTTTGTTGTTTGCTGGGTTTTGTGACCATTTATTATAACTTTTAGAAAGTTTTGAACAGTTAAATTGTTATTAACGGGAGCTTCTTATACGAATGGCTCAATAGTGAACTCAACCGCCGAACAGGGAGTTGTTAAGTCGAAGGCCTGAAGCACACTTGGATGCAGCACTCCAATTCTGCCGATGACGGCGTCGTTGTACATGACATTCGCGCACCGCCCGGGGAAGTAGCTGGGATCTGTTCCGAGCAAGTGGATATGAGTTAGTTTTTGAGCATCAAGTTTCAGTTAAAGTCTCACCTTCAGTAGCCTGGAGATAGTAGCCTTTGTCGGCGCCGCCCGTCTTCCAGGGCACAGAGAGCACCTGCATGACACGATCCAGCAGCCCGTGAACCACTTCAAATCCGGCGCTCTTGTTGCAGTTAACCGCACACAGACGTCGCTCGTTGCGAGCACCAACCTCTGCAGCTTCGTCTGCCAGCACCACATCGCTAATCTCGAACAGTTTCATTGGCAGCGGCATCTTACGATTTGCCACCAGAGTTTTTAACAGGCCCGGTAGCAGGGTGGTGCGCACCACTTGGAATTCCAATGTCTTGGGATTACCTATATGGACAGCAGGCAGGGCCTCGATCTTTTTGTTAAGCTTGAGCGCTATGTCGTCGCGTGAGCAAAGCGTGAAAGTGAGAGCCTCCGTGAAGCCAGCCTGTGCCACCTGTTCGCGCAGCTGCTCCGTTAGTTTGTTAAGTGGAAACTGTTTGGCGATTTGCATAAAGGCTGGCAATGATTTCTTGATGTTATTGTAGCCAAAGGCAATGGCGACGTCCTCGTAGACATCGCAGGCATGTATGACATCATGGCGTGTTGGTGGAATCTTCACGTTTAGTGAGTCACTATCCTTGGCATCAACCTCGGTTTCCAGATACATACGGGTCAGCATGTCCGCCAGCTTGCTGGCCGGTTCGTTGATGCCAATGTATGCGTTGGCTCGTTTCACTGATATACGCTCTGTGCGCACGGCCAGCTCTGGATAGGAAATGATGGTACCATCAGTTTGTACCACATCACATGGCTCGACAGTAAACTTCTTAGCGCAGTGCTCGGAGAAGAGGCATACAATTGTGTCCAGCACAACCTTGGCTTTGGTCAAATCCGTGGCAGTGCATTCGATGAACACATTTTTGGTTTTTAGCGAAATTTTCGAGTGATCTCCGTTGATAATTGGTGGCAGCGACAGAACCACACGATTGGCATCGTAAATCACTGGGTAAACGGGTGAATCGCGTATGATGGGCAAATATTGTTTCAGCTGTGCGTGCGTGGCATAAAAGTCCATGAGTTGAACACCGTTCAGCTCTTGTGTTTGGTTTAACGGAACAAATTTGATTTGCTCCGGTGGCAGGGCCTCATAACTGAAGGGTCCTTTTATGGTGTCCAGATCGTGAGTGCCAATGGCGACCAAAGTACGTTTGCGGCATATATTCTGATGCAGCTTGTCCTGCAGATCGATAAAGCTATTATAGGAGTCCTGCGTAAAGGTAACATTTCGCAGCACTGCGGCCACAGCAAACGGACGAATTTGCGCTGTGGAAGGATTGATTTTCAGCACTTGGCGCTGCGCCGGTTCCACAAACTCAAATTTAGGCGGCTTCACTCTATAGCATTAATTTGTTTTATGAATATTGGAATTTTTGGGTAGTCGTTTTTCTACTCACTTGCCCTGAAAGACTCGCAGAGCCGTAACCAATCCTTCCAAACAAAGCAAATCATACCGATTAGCCGGTATATCAATCCTGTAAATGATTTCCTCGCTGGCATCCGCTGCTGCCGCAACATCGCCTTGCTCTTTGGTGAGCATTTGCTTCTCTGTTGTCTGCATCGAATGTATTGAATGGTGAAATTGTATTTATTATTTAGTAGTATACTCCAATTGCTTACCACTTCATCCAGCTCCAGGCCGAAGGCGAAACACAGTTCTTGGAACTCATCATCGGCTAGTGAAAGGATTAAACATTAAAACTGAAAATCCACGTGGACTGCTGCCGGTCAACTTACTGTATTTCTTGCCGAGTGCATCAAAGAGCAGATCACGCTTAACTCCAATTGTAGGCATTGTGATAATTTAAATAAATTACAGATATCTCCTTAGATTTGCAATTTCTTAATTTTATATTTTAAGAAATATTAAAAAAGATTTGTTTGATTAGAGTGTGTACACACCTAATTTATAAATTTATTGGGAAAATGTTATTTAACATAACACCAGAATAACATGAGTGGATTTTGTGAATGATGAAATTATGATTTAAGAATGCTGCATCTTTAAACACTGGTTGCAAGAATACACATATTAATGAAAATATCTATTAATGGGTAGAACATGTAAATTATAAAAAACAGCCCTAAGCATTAAATAATCGTTATGTTTGAATTTAACAGAGTAAGCTTATAATTCACAATAGAGATGAACGATTACACTATCGATTAACACCAGCAGCAATAAAATTTGTATTTTTTTCAGTTAATTAAATTTAAAAAATATTTTATATTTTTAAAAGATTCTGCAAATATAAAAATTGACACAAGACATTGTGAAATGTTTTTTTTTGTTCTTTACAAAAATAATCCTTTTTTTACAAAAACGTGTCTTAAACACCATATGCCACCAGTTTAACTGATGGATAATTTAAACTCCAAAGTTATATTCAGTTGGACATACGTTGTCAATAAAAAAAATAAAATAAAAATGCCACACACTGCGTGTTGTTGTGTTGCTTATACGGATTCCAAATCGGCTGAAAAAAGTGTATACTGGTGGCAGCTGTTGTTATCGCCTGGCGCTGCATTTCCAAACTGTCCACACAAGAAATCGGAAGTAAAAAGCGTCTCACTTTTTTAGTACTCGATATTTTTATTATATATTTTATTTTTCATTTTAGAGCGAAAGCAGTCGGTACGAGGTGTTTAGATAGAACACTGTCGACAAAATACAGCGAAAACTGGATCGATCTCAAGGCAACTTAAGCAATTAAGAAGGCAACGCGACGTCAAGCGAGCTCCTTGGCAGACGCGCGTCAGACGGGTAACAAAAAAAAGTATGAAGCGCGTGTGGCCAAAAAGTTAATGAAGCGTTAAAAAATGAACTTGTGGTCATAAAAAAGATGCGACTCATTTTAAACAGTTATAAGCTGATCTGGGCCTTAACGAAAACGGTTGCGACACCATGAATGATATAAATATATTGTTAATCAGCCACTGTCGTCCGAATATTTGCTTAGGAAGCAACTCAGAATTGACTAATATAACCAAGTCCATCTATTCTATACTCCGCATTTTATAAAATTCCTTTCTCCACCTCTAAGGTGAACAAGAACAAGTTAGTCGGACATACCCAATGAAATCACATTCGTATTTTTATTTTTAAATATGCATTATTGGCTTCAACATATATTCCATTTGTGATCTATTTCCCTCATAAATATGTATTAAGATGAGCATTTTTCCACAGGATTTTCTTCAGTTTGTTTCTCATTTTTTTGGGCTGTGCCCAAAGGAATAATCAATTTAAAAACGCCTTCAACTGCTCTCTGTTGCATTTTTCATAAGCATGTCCTTGCGCMGAGGCTTTGTGTTTGTTTGTTCAACCCTTGAAGAGATTGATTATTGTTTATATTTGTGCCTCCTGTGTGCATACGAATGCAGTGCAAACATACGCATCGCATCGCTTCGCATCGCATCCGATTGTGGCCTGACCGACGCCAACGCCAACGCCAAAGCCAAAGCCAACTCTTCCATTTGAATTGGGGCAATTAAAGTGTGTGGTACAACTCACGGCTGAATAACTCTATAAACACGTGATAGATGAAAGGCCGGCTGAACCGATTTTTACTGGGCTGCCCAACAACAACAACAACAACAACATGGACAGCAACAACAATAGCAATTAACATTAACCCCTTCGACCATCGTCGCTTGGCGGCGGGGGCGTTAATTCAGACACGAGTTCTTGGTCAATTTATCAAATAATGCGACCAATTCCTGGAAAACGAAATAAAGTGATTATCAAGAGAATTGAGTAGCGACCATTATTATTGGCCAGCACATTTTTCATCCTTGCTTTTGTCCTGGCATTGCTTTTGTCTCGCGGCATCTCTAATTCATTTGTAATTATGCTAAATATGAAATTCATATCTTTATGTACATATATATGGTATACATATGTACGTATTTGATATTCCAAAATTTAACTGGCGCAGATGCTGACTTGCTGATGATATTGCTTTTAGAATATAAGTATATATTTATTTCATTTTTATGTAAGACTTTTACATGTTAACTGCTAAAAATACTAAAACGTTCGGGTTCATTTTTTTAGATTTACTTTTAATAATAAGTTCCTAAAATTGAGCTAGATTTTAGGCAGTTTTTAAATAAATTTTCCTACAGTTCTCTAAAATCTCGCCTAAATATCATTTTTGCCAAAGCAAAAACATGATGGTTTCTTCTCACGCATCAGCCTCAAAGAAAGGCCCTAATTGTTAACTAGTTAGTTTTTCACACGTTTGCTCCAGTTACAATTATGTGGCACCCGCCTCTTCCGCTCTTCCGGCAAACATGGCAAAAATAACATGGCAAACATAAGATCAATTCATCATGTTGGTAATTGGATGGGAACGTGTAGATTTTCACTGTTCTCTTGCCAAACACTTGTGCTATTACCTGTTCAGCCGGCTGACCATATCTGACCTGCTGCTGTGTGGTCAGATTCATTTGAAATTAACTATATGCCATGTCGGCATTATACGATCTCTGCGGTTGAAAATATCAATTTTCATATAATGCAATTGTCACCCAAGGACCTCCGTGTGAACTGTCAACGGGGCTGATCGTATGCTCCTGTCTGCATACGATCAGAGCCTGAATGTCGAAAAGGAAAATCGAAAATAGAGAGAAGGGATGCCTCGATCAAATCGACTTGTAGACTTGTGCTGGGCTTATCTGATGCGCAATTTTTCAATTTCATGAGCTGATGTTGAGAAATGACCCAGCATCGATATCAGTTACAATTTACATTTTATTTTTACACCGTTTGCGCACAGGTAAAAGATAAACATATCAATTACTCAGCATCGAGGCCCGTTGACAGACAAACCGAACTACTGCCACTGCTACCAGCTAAAGCAACTCCTGGATCTATCTCATCGTTTCTCACTTCCGAGAAAGTCATTTCTCACACTGGGCATTGGGATTTGTTTGTGTTTCATTTGGTTTTCGATTTCGATTTCAATTTCTTTTGTCTTCTGGCCAGACATAGTCAGTCTCAAGTGTCGCTTTTGGAAAGTGTTGCTACTTTTGACTTCTGGCTAAGTGTTTTGGGCAGCAGACCCTTCAGGTGCCAATGCAGCACCTAACAGCACCTATGGGAAATTATATGAATTATATTAAACGGACTCCAACAGGGATAAGCGAAATCCTTGAAACCGTTTGAAAGTTTCGCTTTTTATTTATTTATTTTTTTGTTGTATTCGAGACGCTTGGGAGCGCTATAAAAATACCCCGTAAAAATGCTGAGAAATGTAACAGATATTCATAAATGACTGATTGATATACTTTGAAATTTTGACTTTATGTAGGTATATGCTCAAATTTATATAGATATATACCTATTGATAAATATATATAGAGAGGTAATATGTATCAATAGGTATACATCTATAAAGAGAAAAACTATGAGAATAAATTAAACTTTATTTGAGATCGAGTTAAACTTATCTTAGGTTAGTCCACATTACCCACATTGCTAGCTCTGGGAGTCAGGGCAAAAGCTTAACACTTCCACATATGCAGAGCATCTGGATAGTCGTGCATTGCCGCGTGTTCTCGCTTGCTGTTTAACTGCGATTGTTACCCTAATTTTGAGTCGTCTTTAAAAATGAAACGGTCTGATCGCCAGCCTGACCGCTGGGCCAGGCCCAGCCATTGGCAGCAGATCCAACCACGCGTTGGATCGCCCGTAATGGCACAATCAGAATAGCTAGGCTGCGGCGCGGCGCACGCGTGTCATTCCTGGGCAGCAATCAAAGTGATGGGAAAATTGCGTTTGGGTTCAACAGGTTCGCTTGGCTGTGCATTATTTTTGTTTTTGTTTGCCCAAAGGTTAAACGTGCGAATTTCACCAATGGCAACAAAAAATGAAAAGAAGATGGAAACAGCGGCCACGTCTTCAGCTCGAGGTCCAGGCCCAGGGCCTTTTTTGATCAGCGGTCGATCAATGAGTATGCGAATGCGCCACAGTTTCGTTTTCGGTGGTAATCGTAATCGTCTGACTTCTTGTGCTGCTCCTGCTCTTGCTCCTGCGCCAGCTCCTGACATCATTGGGCGCATACCGTACGCGAATTTAAAGCTTATATATACATATATATCAGCTACAGCTACAGCTACAGCTAAAGCTAATTAAATGTAATTTGGTACTTCCTTTTCAGCCGAAATAATACATATAAATAGTATCTTTAGTTTACATTTTATTCGCGCTCTTCTCGGCCGGCCTCTGCGCTCATTATTATACATTTTCGTTTTCTTACTTAAGGTCACTTCAATTCCATACAGCTATACATATGTATATGCATCCTATGTGCCAGGGTAAGTTTATATGCATGCTTCAAAGGAATTCGCTCGCCGTACTTCAAGTGCAACAATACAACAATTGAGAAAAGAACTACACTGTGGACGCAGTGGAAAACCGAAACTGAAACTTGTTAATTGTTTTGCGCTCGAGTGGCGAGGCCGCTGTAGGAGCGCGCACGCTCTTCAGTTTCCACTGAAGAAACACTTTCCATTCAAGCCCAATAAACGAGCCATTGTGAAAAACGTTGGCCCATTCATGAAAGCACCTAAGAGGGGCACCGCGTTCTCTGTCTGAGACTGCAATTGTTGCGCCGCAAATTAGACGCTCAATTACTCTACAAAATTCCTGGATAATTTCATTGCAGTGAGTAGGGAGGAAGGTGTACGGGATTTGGTTCGTGTAGGGAGTAGAGGCACAGACAGGCCTAGCCTAGCCTCTCCCTCTTCTACGTCTGCACGTGAAAGTGAATCTTGACCACGTGGTGTTTCTTTGATTGTAACCCTTCGCTTAGACGATCATTTTTCATAATTTATCCTCTAGCCACATCCTTCCGTAAAATGTTCTCACACTTGACCCGCTGCGCTCGGCAACGCCCCGCCAAGGATCGGAAGTTGTTCCTGTGCCGCAGCATCATCATCGGCATCATTCTAGGCGCACTCAAAAATCTTGTTGCTCAACAGACGAGTAGAAAATCTTATTAAAAATTGTTATTTCTTTCGTGGCCCTTTTCTCTTGTTATTTTTTTTTGTGTTTTTTATTTTTTATTGCTTTAATCATTTTTATTTTGTGCGGCTTCCGTGCCACCTGTTATGCTCAGCGTTGGCGAAGGTGTAGCAGCCAGAAGCAGCAACAGCAGCAGCAGCAACAGCCTGAGGTCCTCGGATCCTTGAGGCCTTTTTGATTTTTCTCAAGTGATTGCGTAGTTTTCATCTTTTGTTCGCTTATTGTTGTAGTTCTCAGTGTTTCAAATTTGAATTGATCATGGCGTGCTGATCTGGGTAAGGGTAACGTGGGATCGCCACAAAAGCCATGTCCTACATCCGACCCTATCTAAATACCAATCACAATTTGTCGATCGATTATAATGCCTACTTCCGATTCCGTTTGCGTTATTCCAATTCGAATGCAGTGTGAAATTAATTTCTATTTACAAAGACAAATGGCCTTGGGCCACATGACGAATGCCAGCGAATTTGTCAAAATTGTTGCAGGATCAGGATCAGGATCATGTCGGCGCCAACCAGTTGCAAAAGATCACCAAAGAGATGGCTATCGAGTGCAGTCCACTCCTGTTGGCAAAACAAAACACAGACACAGAGCAGCTTCAAAGTCGAGCCGTGCGACAAAAATTGCTACGCTTCACTCTGATCCCATCAGATGCTGATAAATATATACGTATGTGCACGTACATACATACCGATATAGATGGATAGATGCCGGCAGGTCGTGATAACCATCAGTATGCAATCTATAACAACAGGCTGCCTGCAGGCGTGCCCAAACAATGACACAGTGGGCGCTGCATTGACCTGGCCAGGACAACATTGACTCGACTCGCCTCGACTCGCCTCGACTCGAGCCCGACCCTATCCAACCCTCAACTGAGCGTGTGTATAATCTAGTTTTAATTTTCATGGGAATTAACCCATGTCCTCATGTCCTTACAACAATTTTGTGTAAACAATGTGCAATTTATGCGCTCTGTATTTACACACGATATTCATATAAATGTAAAAAATGAGGCTGTAGCTTCTGTCCTGTCGAGTCCAGCCGCTGTTTGAGCTACTATTTGCTTTGATTTTCACTCGACTCATTTTTTTGCACTGACTGGAGTGTACATATCATATTTGCATCAATTTTTTCTCATCGCTCGTCAATATTTGCTCAGCAAGTCAAACAGTTGGCACATCCCGGGCACACAATGCTCCAATGCTCCAATGCTCCTTCTCGTCTGTTGATTTCGCTTGGACTTTGGATCGGCCAATTGCATATTTAATTTGCCTTTAATGAATTTTCAATTTGACAATGCCGCACACGAACGCGCCGAGGCCACCCACCTGAAAACATGAAAGACTACACATGCAATCCTGACTCTGCTCTCCTCCAATTGCCATTCCCATTCCCATTCCCATTCCCAATCCCATTCCGATTCGCAGTCGAGATGCCATTGCATGCTGCTGTCCTGCTTCCGATTGATTGACTTTCGCTCTTTGCATTCCTTGCGAGATCATTTTGGGCGGTGCTAAATGCTCATAAAATAAGTAACATACAAATTTTCAATTTGTGTTTAGGACAAAAAATAATTGGGCTACGGCTGCCGAAAATGATCGCAGTCCCGGACAACACTTTCACGGCCCAGAGGGACTTACTAATGGGAGTCGTTGACGTGCGCCTACTTTTATTCTTGACTGGCATCTGTACAGCTCCTACACGTTTCACATATTGAGCTCTAAGAATTTGGGTATATTTCATTGGTTAAATGCTTGGCAGATAATATTAAAATTTCAAGAACATTTCTGAATAGCCTATAATTTAATTTTCAATTTATATATTCGTTTATACTGTTGTGAAAAAAAATTTCAAATTACTTTGGACTCTTGAATACTATTAATTTCCTTTCAATGTCATTATTATAAAATATAATCTTATATTACAATGCATCCTAGGCTTCTGATCGTCTAAGCAGTTTAAGCTAGCCAAGCATTTAGCTTAGTATAAATTATAATTATATAAATAAATAGTGTTAATTAATGTGATTAATGCTAATAATAGCTATAATTACAATTATGTTGATTTTTTTTTTTTTATTTTTGAGTATTACATAGTAATATCTATCTATAGTAATACCTATCTTCGAATCGGGCTGTGCTCCCGGTCTAAATGGCTCTCTCGCAATACGTTTTCAAAGCACTCTCATTTTTTACTTTATCTACAGGTCGGTTTTGTCTTTTATCCGATTTTCCCAGGTTAAGAAGTAGAAGAAGAAATGCAGCTAGGTTCGGTACATTTTCCAATTTTGTTGTAGATATTTAAAGAATAATAAATATGATAAAGATTATGGTATGATAATAATAATGTAATTGCAACAATGCTTAGCATTCTATTGAAATAAATTATATAGTAGTTCCATTCTACAAATATCTGAAGTAATCAGAGCATTTATGTTTCGATCAGTTGCGTCAATGTGATCTTAACAGTTTGTTGCATGCGCTTTCTGGAAGCTGCTCCACATTGGCAGATCCCAGCTCGACTCTCGAGCAGCAGACATAAGTTGCATTTATGCGTATTGACATGAAAAGTATGACCCGTTACCCGGTACCCGCTACCCGTTACCCGTTACTCGTTACCCGTTACCCGCAAGTCGGATCTGGCTGGAGATGTGTGTATTGAGGTACGTATATTATGGTATATGCCGCATATTGTTCATCTTTAACCGGCTGTAAGTGGCAGCAGTTTTCGAATCGCTCGTTAAGTGACAGGCACGCAAGGCGCCGTTGCGCATGGGCTGGATGCAGCATGAAGTTGCCTCTCTGAATAGCTAACCCTTTTCCATTGCATGCCGCAGCACGTGTGCCCTTTTACATATTGTTGTTGTTGCTACCGTGGTTGTTGTTGCTGTTGTTGTTGAGCGTCTTTGTCAATACGCATAAAATTCAAATCGATATGCAAACGTTGAGTTGGCGGATGCCTCAACATCAGCCAGGATCGATAAACATAAACTTAACAACAGCAAGAGCAGCAAGTGCGCAGCTCTGGGATATGGCGATACGATCGTCGTTGTTTGGTTGCAGGTGTAACCGGAGGCGTCACATGCACAACTGTCACTTGTGCGCACTCGCAGCCAGTCACTCGTAAATTGCACTTGCGGCAGAGGACGCACAGCGAAAGGATACGTAGAGGTCCTGTGCCAGGCAATCGGGGGTTGTTTGCTGCCAATAAATTTGTTGTGCTGCACTTGCTGCGGTTTGTTGTGTGACATTTTTATCTAATTGACAACGTTTTATTGCCGCCTCGTAGATGTGCATGTCTGATAGCCCAGCGGCAGGGGCAAATGCAACTTGGGGCGTGCTACCTCAGTTAGCTGAACGCCCACACATCAAAGGCAGCGTCAGCGGCAGCATAAAGAGATTTCTTTAATATCAAATGCACTCGCACAATATGATTTCCAGCGAATCATTTGGCTGGGCGTTGCTCCGAATCGAGGATCGACCACCAGGCGAGTCCTAGTCCAACGAGCTAAATGCGCTGTCTCATGCTCGGCGTACAACTAAATTGCCCGGACGATGCGAGCCCATACTAATTGTTAGCGCTAAAATGTGAGCCTAACTATGCCAGTTAGTTAGCGCCGGGCACGCTTATTAGGCATGCCCATAGACATGACCAAGCGGACCATCAAGCGTGTCCTTGACGCTCGGCTAACAAGCAAGCGTCGAGCGCATCGACGGCGGGTCAAACCCTCAACGAGCATATCAATTGGAGAATTTTCGCCAGGTTGTAATAAACAAGATTTTCATTGCGATATAATTTCGGGCCACGGCGGCGGTGGTCAGCGGCATGCCGAATCGCCTGTGCGGCGGCACAGTTGTGAAGGTGTGTCCAGCAGGTAGAGTTTTGGCCTGGCCGGGCATGCGGCATGAGTTGCTTAGCGGCTCAGTCTTTGGTCCTGGCGACGATTTAGATAAGATATTGCTGGCCATTTGGTGCTGACAAATCATTGTGGCCATCTATGTCCTGATGTTTGGATTTTTGCAAATTTCGCAGCGCTTAGTGGTCAAAACTAATCCTGTTATAGGTTTGTTTGCATTTCCGCCCCTTGTTCCGGCACATCCTACCAACACCACAGCCACCACCAGCACTACCCCATAATCATCTTGTTAGCGGCTTTAGATTGCCACCGATAAGCGCCAGCGCATCTTCTATTCCATCCAGCCAGCGCCATTTTACAGGCTGGGGCTGTGAATGTGCCTCTCTTGTTGTTGCTGCTGCCTCCGCTGTCCCTCAAGCTCGTCGAGGCAAAGCAATTCCAACACAGTGCAACCCACCACCGCTTGCCATTGGCTGTTGCTCGGGCACGGCACGTGCTGCCTGTGGCCGAGGTAGGTAGGCAACTCGTTTACCTGTTCCTCGCTCTGCTCGTCTTACCTGCGCGCAGTGGTAGGTTTTGCGTGGAGCGTATAAATACGGCCGCCAGGATAAGGCCACAGTCAGAAACTCGCTAGCAGCCACGGCGAACGGTTCAAGTTGTTTATTGCACAAAATCAATTGAGAATATATTGCTAAAATGTCGTCCAGTGAGATATATCGCTACTACTACAAGACCACTGAGGATTTGCAGGGCTTCAAGCCGGGTGCAGCGGAGCCCTACTTCAATCCCATGGCCGCCTACAATCCGAGCGTAACGCACTATCAATTCAATTGCAATACGCTGGCCAGCTCCAGCAATTATTTGTCTGCCAATGGGTTCATCAGCTTTGAGCAGGCCAGCTCGGATGGCTGGATCACCTCGTCGCCGTCCAGCCATCGCTCCGAGAGTCCCGAGTATGTTGATCTGAATACCATCTACAACAATGGCTGCAACGGCCTGCCGCAAACGCAGCAGTTCGCATTGGCGCTGGAGCAGCCGGCGCCAGCAATGCCAGCGACTGCGGCACAACCAGCCCTGGAGATCATGGGCTCGCCCAATGTGGGCACCTGCAAGACACTGCCAGCAGCAGCAACAGCAGCGCCAGTGACGAAGCCTAAGCGCAGTTACACGCGCAAGAACCAGCAAGTAGCAGCAGCAGCTGCAGCTCCAGTCACCGACTCCGTCAGCCAGACCAACTCAGCCCAGCCCGCGTCTCAGTGCAACAACGGCAATGTCCAGCTCTATGCCGACGACTTTCAGAGCTTTGATTTCGACAATTCAGCTCTGTTTGACGACAGCGTGGAGGATGATGACGACATGATGCTGGACTTTGAAGATGACTTCGATGGCGAGGGCAACGATGGCTCCTTTGCTCTGGGCGATGGCGACAGCGAAGATGCAGCTGGCAATCCCAATGCTCCAGCCACTGGCGCTGGCAAGAAGCGTCGCAACAAGCAAATCTCGCCCGTGATCAAGCGTAAGCGCCGCCTGGCAGCAAATGCCCGGGAACGCCGCCGAATGCAGAGCCTCAATCAGGCCTTCGACCGACTGCGTCAGTATCTGCCCTGCCTGGGCAACGACCGGCAGCTGTCCAAGCATGAGACACTCCAAATGGCCCAGACCTACATCACCGCCCTGGGCGATCTGTTGCGCTAACCGATCGCAGCTCACGTTCATTTGCCAAATGTTGTACCTTCACCTGTATATATGTATGTCAAGCTAGAGCCCAGTAGGAAATTATTGTTTAAGTATTGCGCTGTTAATTGTTTAGTTAAATATTTTCAATTAAATATTAAGACTTGAAATAAAAGCAAAAAACTCTATTTATTTTGTGCATTTTATTTTCTAAAAATTATGGGAATTTACAAGTTTAAAATGAAAAGCATGGTATGGCTGTTAGATCTACGGAAATTTATTGAAAAAGTTGTACAGTTTATTAATAAATATTATTTTCAATGTTTTAGATGAATAAATTTCTTTTATAGGTTTTTTTTTATTTATAGATTTATGTTAACATATTTACTTAGAGGAGGAAAATCATAATTATTCCAAATGCCATCTAATAATATATGCTTTCAATTTATTTATTCCACAATATTTGAATTTTCGAAATCAAAAATCTTTCAGAAAAACTTTTAAATTTTGTTATATATTAAATTTATAGCAGTTGCACCTTAATATTTTTGTATATGGAAAATTATATGAACTACCATTTTAACTATGTGTTCATCATTTATTCAATAATATTTAATAGAATAAATTTTATTAAAATAACTGAAAACATTCTGCAGTATAAGTAATTCATATAAGCCGCCCTTCATTCTTATTTATTATTTAATATTTTGCTACTAATATTAAAACTTCCCAGCATATAAATTGCTCATGGTTGTTTAGCTTATGTTAAGCCTTTGCCCTGTTTGACTTTCGCGGGCGATCCATCAATCTGAGTCGATCTGAGGTTCAGTTAATGTCTTCACCTTTTGCGCAGAACTTGGCGCTTCCTTTCCAGGCGCCTCATTTAGCGCACTGCATCGATTCTCACACACTGCCCGGGTCGAGTTGAGTCGAGTCGCGCGCAGTGCGTTCAGCTTTATTATGTGGAGCAAGGTGATCGATTTGGCGCTTCGCGATCAATTTGTAGACAGTTCAGCGAAATTAGTCGCCGGCTACACAAGCTGGCCAAAACAAATACTCGAAAAGTGATCCCCGAACAGTATTGTGCCGATAATTATATGGCAGAGCGCAGCGGAGTGTGGCTGCCAAATTAAGTTAAGTGTGGGGCTGATCTGCTTTCAGCAGCAAAAAAAAAAAAAAAACACAAAAACAAAAAATCATCGAGCGCCACTCACAAATCGTTTAAAGCGAAGTTCGATTGATGATCGTTGCTGGCGGATAACCGACAAAGGCTGGGACTAAGCTTAAGCCTGGATTTAAGGGCTGCCAATTCATTCAGCAGAAAGCGTAGCAGTTCCTGGCCATGTCAGTCGGGTCAGCGATTCAATCACTCGGAAGATACAAAACCAATTTGCTGATAGCACACCACCGACTGACGATCGCCTGCCACTACACAATCGCAGTGGGAACTTTTACGGGGGGCATTGGGGCGCGGCAGGACATCGCTACGTGGGCCGAATTTTCTGTTTGTTTTATAAAATGATTTTCGGGCGTTACCGCAGAGCTTTCGCAGTGGCCGCGGCCTGGCGTGGCTTGGACAATCAAAAGGAAATTCACATAATTAGTTAGCGGCGCGGCTTGGACAGCGCTTCGTTAAATTGTTAATGACTTAATTTAGAGCTCTCCCTCGCATTTGGCTAGCCAATGCAGGCTGACAGTGGTAGCAATTATGCAGGTAGCCCCAATATCCTGTCGTCTGTGTCTCTGTCTCTGCCTGTGTGTGAGTGTGTCTGTGTGTGTGTGAATCTCTTTCGGTGTGCCTGGGATCGCGCTCTTGTTAGCGACAATTTACGGCTTTGAACGCTTCCGCACAATGCGTCGCCGTCAATTTGTCAATTACACAAATTGTTTAGCTCTCGACTCGCCACGACACCAACCACCAACAACAACAGCAACAACAGTAAAGGTAGAATTTCGATTTTGGCTGCGTTGGGGCTTCTTCCTGCCAAGCTTGAATGGCTTTGTGCAACCGAGCTACGTTCCGATCGCTGTGCAGCTGCACAGATTCGATCCAGCTTCCATCTTTTGGCAAAATGCAACTGCTTGCCAATACAATTAGTTAGAATTCATGAATGGCAATGGGAACTTACGTGCAGCCGACCCCAGCCAGCTTTTGGCAGTGCCGATGCCGCCAACAACAGCAGCAGCAGCAACAACAACAACAACAACAACAACAACTGAAGCTAAAGTCGGTGCCCCAGTCGGAGTCTTGCATGTCTTTGTCAATTTATAGACAGCTTGCCTGAGCATTATTAACACGTATTATTATGCATTCGAATTGGAGTTCAGCATCGAGCTTAAGGGTACGTCGCCTCGTTGCATATTTTGTGGGTTTTTCGTTGTCGCTGCGGCAAACAGGCAACAGGCAACAAGTCGTAAAGGAATTAATGTGCCTAAAAATTTGTCATGTCGATAATTGGCGCGCTTTAATTTGAGGTTTCCTTCTTCGCCTCCTGCGGCCATTGTTGAGCTGCAAAAGTCTGTCTAAGCGGTTACTGATCTTAAGTAAGCATATCTGTATCTGCGCTAAACAAGTTAATGAGCTTTAACACCATCAATTTGTCACTTCTGATTAGCGTCCCCATGGGGCGTCGCTATCGACATGGCCAACCGCATGTCAAGTCCATTGAATGCTGACAGCTAATTGGACCTCAAGTTAGTCTCAAGTGTAAAAATGTCGTTGTGTTTGTCGTGTTATTTATAAAGTTATTGTTGCCTCGCATCCGATTACATTGTACTACAGATATAGAAATTAACCATGGAACATGGTATACAAGCTTAGGATATAAGTCGAGTTGCTTTTCATTTCATTTGCTATACTTGCTATACTATTATTATAATTATTCTATATATTTTTTAAAAGCGCAAATAATAATAATATAATTATTAGAAATTTAAGCATTCAAAATTGTCTCACCATTTGTTCTCTCATATTAATCCTCTAATGATTTTGTGTCAGAAATTTCAAAAATATCAACAATAATTTTTATTCGCTATAATTCAGCGAATTCATTGCACATAAATTACTAGTTGAAATCGGCAGATTAAAGTATTACTGATAAAGTCAAACAATTTAAATACATGTATTTATATTATCTCATTAAGTTAAAATGTATATTAGGTCAAATTGTATTAGAATATATTCCTCACTTAAGGACAATATATCCATTCCGAGTCGTATCAAACCAAAGAAAACATACCACTGTTTGCAGATTTTAATAATAGATTTGTATAGGAATCTATAACATATTCTATTTAAATATCAAAATTCTAATCTTGTGAAACAATTTTTTAGATATTGTTAAATTTTGCTATTTTCATTGTACAGTTTTTTTTTTGCGGTTTTCGTTGGTATTTTCATTGTAATTTTTACAATTTCCAAAAGAATTTTTTTTGTAGCCATAAAAGACTTTCTCATGCCTTGCTGAACACGCTATCCATCCCATTCAAAGGACTATTAAAAAACATACAAGCCGCAATATTTGGTAGATGGTTTTTTGTAAATAGTTGTGGCTGAAGTGCACATAGTTTCCGTTTCCGGCGGTTTTATTTTGGCATTGTTGTGTGAACATTTTACGCTGATCCTTTAATTATTGCGCAATAATTGCGTGCGCCAATGCGGACTCCAACAAAACAATTGAAGCTGAAATGCATTCGGCTGATTGATGTGTGCTCTGATCCTCTTGCAGGTCTTCCAGGCTGAGGTGAACCCAACCCACGAAAGATCGGCGTGCAGACGCGTGTGCAGCGATCGCTGTGTGTGTGGGCCCATTCTTGGTCATGGCCGAAAGTCAAAGCCGAAGTCGATGCCAAACGATTGCAATTATTAAGCCATAAAACGAGCTGCGTTAAATGCCAAGTCTGTAATTAGCGACACCAAATCACGCTGGTCACGCCCCGGCCGGCATTGTGTGCGGCCCGTAATAAACGCAGAGAAATGCCAAACAACGTTACCTGGTCGGTGAAAGTCAAAGCCGAGCCCAATTATAGATCGCTGTTTGTTTAAGGAAGTTTAGGCCAATTAGTCAAACATTCGCTACGCTCATCTTCCAGCCAGCTAGCCAGCTAGTCMGCTAGCCAGCCAGCCAGTCAGTTACCATCAATCAGTAGCTCCGATTACTGACGAGCGTTGCAGGAGCAAGAGATTTAACCGTTACAGGTTGACAAACAATTCGCACGGCCGATCGCTCGACTGGGCAACTCAATTAGCCACACAGACGCATCGCTCCAGTTGACTGACTTCACTTGCTGGACCCCTAACAAACTCTCCAAGTAGGTGGCAGGCATCAAAGGCCTCTAAGCCTTTGAGCTGAGGCCTGTCCGTGAGTCGAGTATCTCACGCTGCACACAGCCAGCAGCGACGATCGTCAGTGAAAGTGCATCAAAAATCAAAGTCGACGTTGATTTTTTGACAATTTTCGGGCGAGGCATCAAATTAACACAACAAAAACGCAAAGATGCTACCAAAGATGCAGAGCCCAGGCAAAGAAAGAAAAAAGCCAAGCTAACAATGAAGGAATATTGAACTGAATAATGAAGTGTGAATACCCTATCTGAAAAGATTTAAAATTGTCTTCAAAGGGCACGAAATTCATTGAGAATTAGTTTAAAACAAGTAAGAAGGCTCCAGTCGAGACTGCTCGACTAGGAGATACCCTKARCCCTSYAARYTGATATTCTAATCATTCTGGACTTCTTTTATGCACACATACATACACATGCACGTATAAGCACGCGCTTTGCAAACTGCGCAGCTAGCAGCGGCTGCGCTTGGGCTGCACTGCAGTGTGGGCAATATAACGAGAATTTATTTGTTGAATAATTTCTTTTGTAGACATACGATCTTAATGAAACTTTTAGAGCGTAATCATATGGCTTAAATGTGTGTACATTTCAAAGCACAAGTCTCTAGTANATTCTCGATAAAAAAGTTATTGGACGAGTTATCGAAAAAATAAGATAAACTTGTTCTGCCTATGGTATACACGAGTATGCATGCCAAATTTCAGCTCTCTAGCTCTTATATCTTCTGAGATCCTTTTGCTCATACGGACGGACGGACGGACGGACGGACGGACGGACGGACGGACGGACGG